GTCAGAGGGCCGCCTTGTCCAGGGAGTGTGCCCTGTGGACGGCTCCCGGCTCAGGTCAGCACTGCTCCTAGGAGATGAGGCCACACCGAGGTCACAGCCCAGGAGGAGCCAGCAAATGGGCTGCAGGGGAAGCCGGATTCTCATAGGACAGGGGTTAGGAAACTCTTATGCCCAGAGAGCCACCTTCAGGAATAAAAAATCTGCACAGGTCAAAAATCAGAGGCACAGGAAATACAAGTGACTAGAAATTGTGTCTACCTTACAAGTCACAAAGCATTCCACCTGTATGACCCCACGCAATCCTTCCCTGTCCAGAAACGCAGGCCTGGTATCGCCTGCCACGTCTGAGCACAGCGAGGCTGCAGAAGATGAACTCATGTGCTCCAAGTCACCCTGAGCACGTGGAGGTGGCGGAGCCTGCCCACCACGGGGTAGAGGGAGGGGCGGGGAGGTGGGGGAGAGCGGGAAGGCAGAGAAAGAGATACGGGGCCTAAGCCAAGTGGATGGGTTCCTTGTGCCATTCTCGTGCTTTCCCTACATCCTCCAAACACACGGACTGTGGTCATTTATTTAGGCCTGCTGGAGAACGTGAGCTCCCTGAGGCCAGGTAGCCTGGTTTGTCGGCACATCCGGGGCCTTCCTGCAGAGGGCATTTGGGAGGGGTAGGAGAACTGAGCAGGCGCTGGTCTCTGGGAGCTTTTCGGTGAACTGGCCAGTGGTGCCCCCATCTTGCAGAGAGGAGATGGGGAGTCATCTCAGGGCTGGGAGACTTGACTGCAGCCGGAGAAGTTGAGAGTGTCAGGTACGTCCAAAAGAGCCGGACGTTCTGGAAACCTCGCCTAACTTTCCAGGCTGCAGCCAGTCCGCCAGGCTCTGAATGCAGAGGGAGGAATCATTAGCATTCAGAGGGGGAAGTCACCGTGGGGGACGCCAGCCAGGGCAGGGGGAAGAGACAGGCTGTGTTTTAATTACGACCTGGACTTTTGAACAAATCCTTTTCTCTGCTTGTCTGAGCCTTAGAGAAAACAACTTGTGGGAGGTGTGGAGTCGGCAGCTGGGTCCACAGTGGCACCCGCACAGCTGTGCACACATCTGGCACACAGGTGGTGGCCCGCGTGTGCTTTTTCTCCTTGAATCACTCCCAGGTTAGTGAGGGTGAGCAGAGTCAGGGTGGCCAGGTGAGGCTGACCTGGCGTTCACCCTCAGCGCGGGGGCTGATGGGGAGAGTGGGGGGACCATGCCCACACTCCCCGCGCCGTCATCCCCACGGACCACGACCGCTTGAGGATGCGAGCCCAGACAACTCCCACTACTTCTCCTGCGCTCATGGAGGGCTCGCTTTGTTGAGCTCACCCTCACCCTCTCTTCTCCAACTTGGGGCAAATTCTGGAGTGGGAGATGCAGTGAGGAAGGGAGCAGAAGGGGGCGGAGACGAGCGGGCTGGAAGTCAGACCAGCACAGAAGCTCCCACCTGCGGCTGCAGCTTCTCGGCTGCCTGCGGACTCCCCGGGGGCCACTTCCCGGCAAGGGGCAGGGAAAGGGCGTGGGCCAAAGGGCCTTCTCCTGGCTCCGGGAAACGCTCTGGGTTGGCAAACAGTGACGAGGGACTTGGGGCCAGGGACGAACTGGGTGGATTTTGTGCCCAAGCAGTCGCCCAGCATGGGGGAGAGAGTAACCGCAGGTGTTCCCCGCACAGTGGGTGCTGAGTGCAGGTGAGGAGGACCAAGCCGGGCCGTGCGGCCGGAGGGAGGGACGGGGCAGGCAGGGCTGCCAGGCCCCGCAGTTCTGCTGTTCGGACTGTCCCACGCCTCGCCAGTGGACAAGGGGCCGCTCCAGCCCCTTGGACTCTCTCCCAGCCTCTGCCCTCTTTCGGGAGCTGGGAGGCAGAGGGAGGGCACGTCAGGGTGGGCATCCCTGAGGGGCTCCCGATGGCCAAGGGCAGGAGGATCGGTGCAGTGCGAGACCTGGGCTGCGGGAAGCCGCACTGGAGCCCCTGCAGGCCAGCCTCATCCTGGGAGGGCCTCCCTGGCAGATTCATGGGAGGCGGCTCCACGCGCTTCCCCAGGCGTTTGCTTTCTCCACCCAAAGAGTTTGAAAGGCACTCTTTTTCTGGTGCCAGTCTGTGGGTAATGCCTCCTTGGGTCCCCAACTTAGTGCGGTCTTACTCCACCTCCTAAGCTCTGCCCTCCGTCCAGGAAGCTTCCAAGATGTGCATAGACTTGGAGTCGTGAGCGAGGACAGACTCAGAGCTGGGAAACGATGAAACATCATAAACATTCTAAACAGAAACATTATAGCAGCTTTATGCCATTAATTTTATATTCATTGGGATGGCTTTGTATTGTTCATATATTCAGTTTCCCACGGGTAAATCTCGATAGGTCACATTATTTACGTGCCCGTTCATGTGTTAGCCGACCCTCTCACTAGCATGTACGCTGCCTGGGGTTGGGGGCTTGGTTTTCCATAATTTTGCTCCAGCAACAGTGCCTGCCACTCACACACACTCCATACAGACTTGTCACATAGGTGTCTGCTGCTGGGAGTGTGTGGGGGGGTTTCTTTGCCTCCCCGGCCTGTGGAGAGACACAGTGGATGGAGTGATGCATGGCGGATGCTTCTGAATAAATGAAAGAGCAAATGAAAAGGAGAAAAAAAAATGGGAGAATGAAGGTGTGAATGAGCGTTTGAGGTGGGGTGACCACACTCGGGCTGTTGGAGGGCTGGTCTGTCTGTAGGAAAATGCTCTTCAGCTACTGTTTGCCCAGCTCCTGCCAAGGTGGGCTCCCTGGCAGAGCACGGTGGCACCAGGGGCCTGGATCTGCTCCGAGTCAGCTTTTGTCTGTCTTGGCGAGGAGGGGAGGGTGTGGGCTTTTGCATGCTCCCTCTGGCCGTTCTGACCCTGTCCTGTCACCATCCTGTCCCTTACACTGCCTGACCGTTCGCATCTGCTGACCCCTTGCTCTGCAGAGACAAGCAGAGAGAGTGTTTATGAGAGACCCTCCTTGCCATTGTGCTACTATTTTAAAAAAGAAAATAACTCTTTATTTTGGAAATAGAAAAATGGATGCTCTAATGAAGGGACCCCAGAGACGCTTTTGGGTATATTATCTCTGTCCTAATACCATACGCTTTGACAAAGGCATTTATGGTATCACGACTCAATTTTAAAAAGAAAAAAGAATTGTAGTCTTTCATAAACTACCCCAAACTGGGGTGGCAAGGAAAAGAGTCACCTTCAGTGGGAACCTACTGTGTGCCAGCTCCTGTACTCAGCAATTTCCTTACATGGTTTCAGAAGAGGTTGAACAAGTTAGAACCACGGGTCACATCAAATCAACTTTTACTGAGTATCTACCAAGTGCGGGGGTTGTGGGGTGTATAAATATTCCACAGGCCTTGTTCTTGAAATATATGTTGTTGGTCAGATAAGTTGTGAACATGGGGAAAGTTAAATAGTGGGGCAAGTTTAAGATATTTTAAGTCAGCAATAGAAAGCAAGGGGCATAGGATTTTTGGAGCTGTAAGAGATAGTCTAGCCTATCCCCTCCTCTCTGACCCTTGTCAACAGCTAGAGAACGGAAGCAGGGTAGGGGACAAGGGGAGCCACAGCCTGCCCAAGGCTTTGCAAATGGTCATTGGCATAGCTGGCAGCAGAGCCCAGGCCTCCAGATCCCATTACTTGTGTCTTGAAACGTCCTCAGGTAACTACCGAGTGAACCCCCACCCCAGACAGTTCAGGGTAACGTGCTCCAAGCAGGGGCAGTTGCTTTAGACTGGAGTGGGGGAGGTCAGGGCAAGATTCAGGGGTAAGATGGAAACCTTTGGTCCTGAAGGGCAGGTAAGACTCAGGAAGATTACCCAGAGCAGGAAGCGCTTTGCAGGAGGGTGGAAGGGCATCGATAGGCCCAGAGGTAGGAAATCAGAAATGTGTGTGTAGGAGTGGTGACATTATTGTCCCCAGCTCTGGCCACTGGGAGCCTGGGAACCGACCTCCATGCTTCCTACTTCCAAACTGTGGGTTCTGTCCCTCCTCTCTGACCCTTGTCACCACTCAGCTGCTGTCCCTCACTCATCTCTCTACTGCCATTTCTGTTCCACCTTTGATACTGCAAAGGGCCCCTTTCCTAAAGCAGGGCTCTCATCCTGCTAAAAGCTGCTCAAGAACCCCATTATTTGCCAGATGACATACAGCTGAAGGTGTGGTCCTGTCGCGCCTCACCTCGCCTGCTGCTTCTCGGCCAGTGACTTGGAGGACTGCAGGCTTTCACACAGTCTGTCACCTCTGCTGGGGACCCCGTCTCCCACTCCTTAATGCCAGTCAACCCACCTGCCTTCCCGTCTTGCTTTTGACCAGGACTTACTGAATCCGTAATGAACTGCATGTCCCCTTCTCTCTCCCCCCCAGGTCCTGGTTTCCTCCTCCGTGCACCCCTGGCCCTCTACTTTAATTATTTGGACACTTCTGGCTTTTCCATTAGCTTGACCTCATTTCTAGAAGTGATTTTCTTTTATTCGCCTTCACATCACTAGTACCTACTGCTTTGGCTCTGCATAGATAGATGCCCTCTTTGTGACTTGTTGAAAACAAGTGAAATAAATTAAGTCCTGAGACAGAGGCTGAATATCAATGAGTGTCATTCTAGCAGAATGCCCTTGGGGATCTTATAAAAAGTTCCCATTCTGGGCCCATCCTCTTACATGGGGATAGGAGTGGGCCTGGACATTTTTATTGTTATTTTGTTTAAATAATAAGCTCCCCCAGGAGTTCTGGGCATCCTGCTTGTCACCAGCCTATATGCCACAACAAACACGCCCTGGGCATTAGCTCAGACTTCCTCCAGTGCCTTTGAGAGAGGAACTCAACTGAATTCTTTGGTTCAACATCGTCAGGGAATGAATCATCTGGATTTGAAGTGTGTTCCATTCTAAGGATCTCTGTCTCAGTTCTGGAAGTTTCCCTTTCTCACTGATCTCGCTTTCCTCTCCCCTGACTCCAGGCTGTTTGCCGTCAAATGCGGGGGCTGCTTCGAGGCCATCGCGCCCAACGAGTTTGTTATGCGGGCCCAGAAGAGCGTGTACCACCTGGGCTGCTTCTGCTGCTGTGTCTGCGAGCGGCAGCTCCAGAAGGGGGACGAGTTCGTCCTGAAGGAGGGGCAGCTGCTCTGCAAAGGGGACTACGAGAAGGAGCGCGAGCTGCTCAGCCTGGTGAGCCCAGCGGCGTCAGACTCCGGTGAGTGCCGTCCAGCAGGCAGGGGCTGCGGGGGGCTGGGCGGGGGTGTGGAGCCGGGTGGCAGTGGGCTAGCCACCCGCTCCTAGCTCCAGGCAGGGCAGCTCCTTGCCTTCCAGGAAGCTTCTCTGTACGCTCAGGGCAATCTCTCATCAGCCAGGAATTTCCCCGGTGCTGCTGTGTAACAGATCGCCCCCCAGCTCCGTGCACACAACCGCAGGTGCTGACATATCCACAAGGGTCTGGGTTAAGGGAGTGACGCTGCTTCACGCTGAAGACTGGCAAGGAACCTGGAATCTGCTCATCTCCACCGAACGTAGCTCTAGGCTGTAGGGCAGGTCAAGCCTGCTCTGTGATTCCTTCCAGAGCCCACGCTTGCGAAGCCGCCGCTCTAGGACGTGATCTCCTGAAGGCCAGGAAGGCATCCCCTGCCATATACACACGTTTCAAGCCTCCCGCCCATATCCTGTCCGCTCATGTTTCACTGCTCAAACCCAAAGTCCAGGGAGAAGGAGGTGCCCTGCATGCCCTGCAGCCCTGCTAGGGTATAGATACGTAATACTATTCAATGGAGCATGAACTGGAACCAGGAATTCAGTCCGCCAGCCACCGGGCTGCCCTAAGCTTTGTTTCCTCATCTGACAAGTAAAAAAGCTAGAATCTATCGAAGGCTTGGTGGGTCCCCTAAAGAAAGGAAGTAGAATATATTTGTTCCACCCACCCACTCCTTACCCTCCCTGCCTGGAGAGGGGGAAAGAGGAGATAGGAGAGGTTCAGAGATCTTACAGAGCACAAAGCCAGAGAAATTCAGTTAAAGTTGTCCCAGGCCAGCACGGAATGCCTCCACAGGGCAGTGTTTGTCTCAGGCCTTCTCCCTTTCCCCCAAGAATCTGCGAGATCCAGTGAGGTGACATCCATGAGACTTACCAGTTCTGGCCATGGCCAATTCCAGGGGAGTTCCAAACCCCTCAGTCCGGCTTACCAGGCCCTCTGCAATCTCCCTGTGCCCATGTCTTCAGCCGCCCGGGAGCCCCCGACCCCTCCCACACTTGGCTCAGCCTTGTTGGACTCCAGGGCGTGCTGGCGTCTCCCGCCGACTCCACATCTTAAACATTTATTCCCTCACTGTCTCCCTCTAGCTCTTGGGTTAACATATCCTTTAAGCTTCTCCCCAGGGGCTGCTTTATTGAGAAAGACTTGTTCCCTCGTGCTGGGCGACTTAACCTTAACTTCTGCCACATGGATCCCACTTTATTATGGTTGCTTATTTGGTTGTTTGTTGTTTTGGCCAGAGAACTAAGCCCGTGAGGGACAGTCTGTATCCTTTTACCGGCATCCCAGGGCTTAGCACACGCCTGGCATGCCAAGGGCGCTTGATGGAATCTTTATTAAAGAATGAATGACCCAGGAAACATGATTCTGGAGCAGGAGAGCTTTGAAGACGGGTAGGTGGCCTCGCCCTGGCTGTACCATGTGTATTTATGTGGCTTTGGACAACTTTCTGAACCTCTCTAAGCCTCAATTTCTACAACTGTAAATTAGTGATAATTGTGCCTCTCTAGTGGTTTATTTGGGGGAGTAGAAGAGATTGTGCATATTAGAAGCTTGGTGTTCAGTAACGCTGGAGCTTAACAAGTAGCTGCTGGTGTCGCCGTTTCCACAGCCCTTGGGATTTGCCTCCTTTAACTCCCGGTCAGTCCGTCCTGCTGGACCCTGCCTGCAGGCTTACGCAAGCCGTAAGCACCTGTCGGGCTTGCTGGGCTTACCGTTTCCTGGATTTGTCTTGAGGGAAATTTCTCCTTGGCAAGAACATTGTCACTGACATGTGGACTATCTCCTTCTCCTTCCGGGGTCATTGGGCCCATTCTAAACCGAGCTTACGGCCTCTGGTTGGCCTCAGAAGGTCCGCTTACCTAGTCTGTCCCTTTAGGTGTCTTGCTGTGCCCACCCACTTAAGCCTCCTTCCCAGAATTATTGCAAAATCTCCAAATTCCCAACGGGCTTAGGTGCTATGGTGATCGGAATGCCAGCGTGACCTTAAAACGACAGGCATACCCAGAGGGACATAGCATTCTTACTCACATGGAAGTAAATGCTATGGTTCAGCCTTTCTCGGTACATGGCTGTGTGGGGCTTGATTACCCACTTATCCAATTGGCCCCTGAGTTAAAGACTTACAGGTTTTAATGGACTACAAACTTAGCAGGAGGCATTAATGTACTGGCCCCATCCTCCCCATGCAAAGACAAGAAAAAACTGGAGCTAAACAGCATTAACAGAAATATGTTCAGAGCAAGGCAATTGCGGCAGGCCCACTTTTCTGCCCACATTTTCAGCAGTATGTTCAGTTCTGAGCACCTCTTTTTGAGGCTGATGTTGACAAAGTGGAGCTTTCTGGTTTATTCGTTTATGCATTCATTCAGTAGATGTATTTTAAGGGCTGGCTTTATGCCAGGGATGGAGTCATTATATGAATGACAAGGATGGTGTGGGACTGAGGAGGTCTCAAAACCATGTCAGATTAAGGAATCATAGATATTTAGGCTAGAAAAGGAAAGACTAAATGAGGATGTAAACATTGCCTTCAAAGGGTTCGATCAGACCTGTTTTTCTTCTAACTTCAGAGAGCAGACTTAGAATCCATTCAGTTACTTAACAAAACTGTTGGGTACTTTACACTGTAGGTAGAAAGGTGACGGCAAGCACTTTCCACTCAACGGAGGGAATGTCACAGTGTCACTCCAAGTCCCAGAGCTAACAAAGAGTGACACTTCTCAGGAGGTAGAACCTCCCTTGCTGAAACCAATATTGGCGAGGTGGGAGGGGATGACGGTTTTAAAAGACGTCTTTTGTCCCTTTCAGTTCTAAAAGTCTTGCATTGTTTTCGCAGCTTTGAGTGAGATGACGTGAAAGTCTCAACCAGAATCAAATATATTGCTTGTACTGCTCGTGCACCTTTTGGTAATTATGCAAATGTTGCCTGCCTTGCATCATAAAATTTTGTGTGCCAAAGCCTGCCTTAGAGGTTAAGAGGACAAGCTTCTAGAGGAAGAGCTTTGGCTTCTAATTCCTTTGTTCTCTTAACAAAGCGTAGCGTGACACCAAGAGGAGACTAAGCGATCAGTAAGTACCTAATGAGTTGAATCCAATCTTCAAGGGAAGAAGTCCACCTCATATCAGGGGCTTACAGAGAACAAACGATTTTAGGATAGGTTCCGGTACAGATACACTTTCTCCTCTCATTTCTCTCCTGGGCGGTTTACATAGCATAGGTGCTTGGTAAATATTTGCCGAGTGGATGATTGAATGACCTGTCATCTTTAACGTTTTCATCAATGACTTAGATGAAGACCCAGAAGGCAGGTTTATTCGATTCGCAGGTGACACAAACCTGACAGGGGAACACTGGTGTGGCCGCCGATCTGCTCAATGTTCAGAAAGATTTTGACGAGCTCACGGACTGGCACAAAGTCAGCAAGATGACATCTAGCCGCTGGGTTCCAAAATTCCATAGTGTTTAGATGGAATGGGGCCTGTTTTGATGGCATTTCACATGGGGTTTTAGTTGGCCGTAAAGTCAAGAGGGGCAAAAAGGAATGTTGCGCTAGTAGGACTAGAACACCCCTGACGCTCTGCTGTATCCCATTTTTTTTTTTTTTTCACATTGGTCAGAGCGCATTTGGGATATTTGGGCTCATTTTAAATGTTGCATTTTAGGAGGTCACTGACAGACTAGAGAGTTTGGGGAGAGGGATTAGCTTGTTAAATGATGAATAGCTGAAGAACCTCAGTATATTTAACTTTGTAAAAATAAGGCTAAAGGAGATACAAGGAGTCACACCCAAGGGTGCAGACTCATGTACCAGGGGCAAAATGATAGCTTTGGGTGCAATACCAGCTCGAACTGTGTCCAGCCAAGGTGCCGACTCGGCCCCCTTCCTGGAAACATTTTCATTCTTGCTGGTGGAAGACCAGGCCAGGGACCTCTAGGGCTGCTTCAGTCTAGGATTCCAGAATCTAAGGTTTTATGATGCTGACTATTCCAACTTACACAAGAGCATGTGACACATTTACAACTATATGGGACACCAAATGTAGGAGATACTCAGAGGCTAGATTTCTTTTCTGGTGAGGCCAGAAAAGCCTCTTGTGTCCTGATTCCTGCTTTGCCAGGAGCCTCAAACTGCTTCTCAAGAAGAGGAAAGGAATTTGTAGCTGGAGTCAGACTGCTCTCTCTGGGTTTACTGGGCTGCTCAGATGCCCAGGGTGTCCAGGAGAGACCTGGTGACATTTATTCCTGCCTTCTTCTCTTTGGCCAGGGAGTCCCAAGCTCTTGCATGTGGTAGGTGCATTAGAGGCTGTCGGGTCAGATGCCTCCAGAAGCCCACGCAGCTGCTGTTTGAATGTCTCTGATCCTGGGGAGCTCCTGAGCTCACGCTCTGTCAGAATTGCTGCACTGAGCCCCACTGTCTGTCTCCATGTATGACCTCGGCCTCAGCCTTGACTCTAGTTTCTCAATGTTAAGTCAGTCTCCCCGATGTGTGGCAGCCTTTGGAGGTGAAGACGGAGATGCTCATACTCCCGGGGTCCTCTCTTCTCCTCTTCAACTGCTCCCCAGTCTTCCAACTGTCCCTTAGCAGAGGCTCTGTGCTGTATCTGCAAAAAACTATACTCCCTTGAGAATGTGCCACCCAAGAAGGGGATAAAATCTTCCACGTGTGGTCTGGTCTTGCATAGTGGTATTGCTATGACATGCCCTGGACCTCTTATGCTATTGATGTGACGCACGACTTATTATTTTTTTGACCTGGGGTTGGGGTGGAGGCTCGGGGGCTGACTGGAGGTGACTGTGGTTCCTGGCTGGTCTAGGTTGCATTTGCATTTCCTAACTTTCTACCTCTTATTGCCACATTTCCTTTAATATCAGGAATCATCTGAGAGTGTCTTGTGCAGCTATTTTTAAAAACTTTTAAAATTTTGAAATAAACTTATAGACACCCACA